AAGTAATTGAGAATAAACTATAATAATAATATATGGAAATAAAAAGAATAAAACTATTCCTTTATTTTTAATAATTTAAAAACAAATTCATCTTTTCAATTAATATATTGAAATCAATCTTTTTGTAAATTAAACTATTAAATCTATATCTAATAAATAAATAAATAATAAAATAGATTTAGAATAATTAAAATATTTTGATAAGTATATTAAGAATTGAAAAAAGAGTAAATATCGAATGTTAATATTAAATAAATATAAAAGTTATAAATCAATAGTTTTTTAAGTATATTATAAAAAGAATAATATTATATATTATATTTATTATTATATTCAAGTTATTTAACTTAACTATTTTAATAATCTAAAATGTTCATATAATAATCAAATTAATAAATTTATTAAAGCATATATTAATCATATTTTGAAGATTGAATTCTTTATAACTTTTAAAGTTATATATAAAAAATCAATTATTTTTCAGAATATAAAATCAGAATTTCAAAAAACAAATTTAATTCTATTTAATTCTAAAGCTATATTCTCGAAATTAAATATTCAAATTTGTATATCTACCTTCTCCTTTTTCAATTTAAATTAATAAATCTTTTAAATTCTTTATAACTTAATTAAAGCTCTTTTTTAATCAATATTAATTAAATCTCAAATAATTTATTATCAATCAAGCTTATCTATATTTATATTTAAAACTATATTAATTCTAATTAAAAGTATAAAATAATTAGCTTATAAAAATATGCTTTTGAATATAAAGATTTATATATTTCAAATAATAAATAAAATATTAAGTAAATATCGATAAATAAAAAAAACCTAATTATACTAAAGAGAAAAGTTTATTAAATAAAAAACTTTTAATATATTATTTTAATAAAAAGTTAATATTTAGATTTAATGTAACAAGTATTAAAAAAAGAGTAATTCAATAAGAAAGTATCTTCTATTTAATATTATAATAAATATAAAAAGATAAATTACAATATAAGAATCTATCAAAATAATATAATAGATTCTAGATTATCAAATTCTAAATAGTTTAATTAATTGATTCAATTATTATTAAATAATATAAATTTGAAAGTATAAATTGAGGTAAAAGTAGTGTATATACTAATATAGTGTATGTACTGATAAACTATATTATTAAAAATGACTAATTCTAGTATATTTTCAAGTAATTCGTTCGATGATATAATTTACTCGTATATGAACTACGTTATAGGAATATAGGTACCTATATAGGTGAATATTCAGTAATAATATAATAATATAGATATTCTAAACAGGACCAAATGAGATATAATATTTATAATTTGTATATACAGTGATAAGATACTTCATATCAGAAGCAAATCATCGTTGGTAAAGAACTTGACATGTTCCCAGGTACTCGTGATGAAGGTATTCAATACAGTCACGTGTTCGAGTTGCAACTCATGTGTGGCTTCGAGACTCTAGCATTTCTCCGGAACTCTAGATGTCATGGGAAGTTGTAACATGTCTACCACACTACCTATCTCCTACCCGTCCATTTCCTACTCGTGATAACAAATCCCTAGATAACCATAGCTTCGCTGTTAAATCGGCTTCCGGTAATGTGGTGGGGTGATTTAGAGATGTTAAGTAAGAGTGCGATTGAAATGGCGACATGCTAATTAAACTTAAACCTAATAAGGAATTGAAATAAAGCACGTTCAAAACTAGATTTTTATACATATACAAAAAATACTACGAGGCTTATTCAAAACCTTATACTTCAATATACAAGACTCATAAATCATATTTTATTTTTATTTTTAAGTCGAAATAGATCACTTACCTCTACCACTATATAATATTACACTTTAATATCATTTCCTATTCGAATTAGCTTTATTACCTTTTATAATATCACATATAAAATACAACTTAATCTAACTAATAATTGATAATATTTATTCTATATATAGATCACATATATCATATAAATATACTACAAAATTTAAAGAATGTGGCTTTGAGCTATTGTTACGGGAGCTGCCTCTAGGATTGCGTGAAAGTGTCTAGAGATCTCTCGAAGTGGTTTAGATTAGATTTCAAGTAGGAATTCAACAAGGTTATAATTAATTGTAATTCTTGTAATTATAGTAATGAAACTAATAATTGTTCTTAAGTATGAAGCTCTATATTATAATGAAATCTATTCCTTTATATAAACCTTCGTTCTTTGTGGAATTCATAATCCTATTCTATTTGAATCCCCTAGATCTTATGAATCTAAATGCCAATTCTTCGATCCCCTAAATCCCCTAGGTTTATCATGTGATTCTCCAATCATATGATGCGGTATGTTGGATGCCGTTGTAACAGCTATATATAAGCATAAAGCAAATGGAAGTTAATAAGAAATCACATAATATTAAATCAGACAATATGTATGCGAGACTGAATATGGAAGAGCGACTAAAGCAAATTAGAACTAGATTCTTCGAATTATCAAAATACTCTAATTCATTAGAATTAATACAAAAAGCCATTATTATACAAAAATTCAAAGATCGTTTAAACAAAGCTATAAACACTTTGATTAAGCTTTCGATTGAAGATTTCATTTCAGAGTTGTAATGTAGATTGTACTTAATAGAGTTTAGTTTTCTTAGCATATCGCCATTTCAATCGCACCCTTAAGTAATAGGAGTGGTTTCTTGGATATCTGAGCGATGGCTTGACTTGGACATCATACTAATTTATAGTAGAGTTGATGGCTTGACTTGGACACTATGCTCAGCCGTAATAGAGTTGATGGCTGTTAGTTTGGATATTAGTTTGGATATCATGGCTAGGTACTCATTATGACAAAAGTGATGACTTGGTATTTGGTAGTGGGAATTTGGTAGTCAATTTATAGTTGTGTTGATATAAATCCATAGATAAATCTCTGATGGTAGGGACTTGGTATTCAATTTATAGTCATATTGATATAATTCCAGAGATAAAAGCGATAAAAGGGGTTTTTGTGAGTGAAGAATAGGTAACTCAATAAATCACGAGAAAGCACGTGGGTAGGTGGTAGGTATAATAAAGCCTTGAGAGAGATACCCAAGTCTGATTTGTAAGAAACATACGATTTCACAAGGTTATTCTCCACGCTTTCTGAACATTGTAAGTAATACTCGTAATAAGCGGTGAATATCTCCACGACTTCAATTGCTCTCATATGGAGACTGGCGTACTCGGTACAGAAGTCATGCATACTCGACACGAGTATGTTGAGAAAAGGAGTTGTGGGTAAACATCCACCCACACCTTTATCGATTCTCATTTCTCGATTCTCATTTCTCGATTCTCATTTCTCGATTCTCATTTCTCGATTCTCATTTCTCGATCATCGATCGTATGGATATTCAATATCGATATCTAGGATTGATCAAATCGATACTAGTTATCCAGGGACCGAGGTATGTAGGATGTAGGATGTAGGATGTACTATGTACTGTACTGCACCTCCTAGGACCTAGATATGGAGTCGAAGACTAGTCCGTGGAAGGGGAACAGACGTAAAGGCGGGGGTGTTGTAACTTATACTTTGTACTTTGTACAGTCTACAGAGTACTTGTATGAAGGGGCTCAGTACTCGGATAAACCATAAACCCCAGATCGATTCGCGGAATGTGGTTTGCATCTCCACTTATGTAATCTCACCTATCTGGGTAGAGTTGGACGTGTAACTTATAAGACTGTATAAGTGCCACCAGTCCAAGTGCAATGTACGCACGCATGCAGGATATTCATACGGTACCGTTACTGCATGGACGGAGTAAAGTGTAAGTGAGGTAAGATTTAGTAAAAGTGTCAAGCAGCGAGACAAGGCTTGATCATTATTATCATTATTATCATTATTATCATTATTATCATCATCATCACGATAGACCGGCAACTGAGAAATAGATATCAAGGATTCAAAGGATATCACCATGTGATTGTATCGATGAACACTTATAATCTTATCTTGCTCGGTGTGTGCCTTTCGATGGATGTGTTAGTTTTACATTCACACATTGATCAGATGTGATTATTACGAAATATGATTCGATTCCATCATTTCCATCCTACCGCGTGTCATTAGTGTGATGTCTTGAGTCTTGACTCCTCCCTCACCTCATGATTGTTTCAAACATCACTTAGCAGTTAGATCCATCATCTCTCGTACGGAAGAGAATGTCCAGCAGAATGCCCCGCGAGAGATTCACATACGTATTCAGATGTCTCATCTATTTCTCCGATTGAGCCTCGTCAGATTCATGCCAGTCCCAATCGAAGCAAAAGTAAGGTTATGACTTGGTAATATTATTTGATTCCGATTTTCAATTTTTCGATTTTTCGATTTTATACCGAGAGTGCCAGTCAATCGCCGTCAATCGCCGTCAATCGCAGTCAATCGCAGTAGTCATAGACGAGAAGAGCGCCAAATGTAGGAATCCGTCTCTTTTCCCTCGCATACTTCGGTCGTTTGGAAATGTGATTGGTCGATCGTTACTTCCTTTGTGGTGTGAATTGAGATGTCCTGGGGATCGAGCGAGAGGAAAAAAAAAGCTTGGAAGTTGGAACATCCTTTTGCCCACCCAGGTAAGGGTATTCCCGATCGGAAAAGAAAAGCTCTATGTTTGCCGTGTTGAGTTCGTAATTCTTCTCCATGTATCTATCTATCGATCATAAGCGGCACTCGTTGATAGGTGGGTATGTACTTGGTTTACATACATTTTATGAGGCTCATTATATGATTTCTGTTTATTACCCATCGATTGGTTCATCTGCGATTCTGCGCATCTTGTTTATTTTTAATCACAGAGTATTACGACCTAATAAATACAATGTACGGAGGAGCTTTACGATGAAGGAGTACCGCTAAGTCAAGGGTATATAGTACCTCTATGTAGTTTGTACTTTGTAGATACTGGGTAATTCATTATTATGATCATAATTCTCATTAGTTCGATTGTCATTTGAAGTTAAACTCTCATCCCTTTTTACTCTTTCCACCACCATCTAATGCATTCAAAACAAAAAGTACCTAATATCTCCCTGTATCTACCTAGTACTTAAAACTAAATATTATACACCTCATCCTATATCCTAATTCCTAATTCCTAAACTATAATTCCATAAATACCAAAATAACGGTACCCCAAAACGTCGTGGTTTCCACCCATTCCACCTCCCTCCCTCCTCCCCCACTTCGATCGATTCATAATTTCTAAACCTTTCAAAAGTATTTCGAGGGAATGGATATAAAGGAAAGGGTGAAGGAAAAAAACTATACCACCAATGTGAAGAAGTACAAAGTAATCCTTTGTATTACAACCCTTCCAACCTCGAGTCATACATCTTCTGAAGCAACGTCGAAAGAAAAAGAAAAAAAGATACTCGTTCGAAATGATGTTATCTCCTGAACATGAAGAAGAGCTTAGGAAGCTGAAAGAGGTGAGTCTTTTGCTTTTCCTTCCTCTCACTCGTGTATGGGAGAGTATGAGAGAGTATGACATGGTCATGTATCTCTCAATACATCCATCTGGAGTTTGCATCGAGGCTTACCATTTCACAATAGCTTCAAGCCTTATATGCAGAACATGCCGCCATTAAAGATCAACAAGTTCAACAAAATGGAAGTCCAAGGCCAGATAGTCGAGATTCGGCTTCTTCCGATCCTATGATTTATCCCGGCTTGTATTCTCCAAGTGGTTTCGATGTACTACAAATTTTGGTACGTTTTCCATTCCACAATCGAAGCGGGCTAGATGGCTCTCGTTTGGGTGAAGTCTCTCGAAAGTACAGTCGTTCTAACATGACTCCCTCAGTTTCAAATTCAACGTCGTCCAAATCCCACATATCCCCTGGGAAATATCGATAGTGGTGTAGCTCTCGTCCTGTGCGATTCCGCTCGTCCTCACTGTCCAATCGTCTACTGCAGTGAACCTTTTCAACGCCTCACAGGCTACTCCCAAACCGAAATCATTGGCAAGAATTGCAGATTCTTACAACAACCTTTCAATCCACACACCTTTGATTACCTCGGCAATGCACCAACAATGAAGGGGATACAAAATCCAAAGAATGATCCTAACGCCATGGCAAAATCAAGCATTCGAACCGCTCTCGAATGTGGCTTGGAATCACAGGTTACGTTGGTCAATTATCGAAAGAATGGAGAACGATTCTTGAATGTCTTGACGACCGTACCGCTTAAATGGACGACCATGGAAGGAGAGGAAAAGAATTATATTGTCGGATTCCAAGCGCAAGCTCCACCAATGTTTAGACAAACTTCGGCTTGAGTTTTGTGAGGGTCGATTTAAATGGGTCTCCTCCTTGTGATGATTCAATGATCTTCTCGGATATGATTCACGTGTTGATTAATCAATGGTGGTGTAGAGTTATGCTTTTTTCTTCTTTGCTTTTTATGATTATACGGAATTGGATGATACCCCTCAAATTTCCTAGATGGGATTTGAGCATTATTAGATGGTCATTCAGCGATCGGTACATGGAGTATGGGAATTGCTAGGTTTGGCAGATATATACATATGGGATGGGATGGGATGGGATGGGATAGCATGGTGTTGGTGGTTTGTTTGTGAGAGGTTATTCGTGGAGAATATCGTTTGATGATGTGTAGAACGAGAGGATATACAGTAAGGGGGGTTAGCTAGGAGGATGATCGTCTACAGGGATGTTTAGGATGATCAAGTATCCAATCCGAAATCACAAAATAATAGTAACAAAAGTTTGAAGTAGTGTTTGGGTTTTGGAAGTGTGGATGTGAGTATGGTGTAAAGTGAAGTGAATTTGTCTATGGGTACATGTATGTATGTGTATCTAGTCCTCCAATACTTCTCCGTATTCAAATTTTCCCATAACGAAGAATTCATCCTTGGTAACCTTGGGTAGGCACTTGTCACATTTACTTAACTGATAATAACCATCCATCCCTTTCCACTCATCACAATTCCTTCCATCATCTTGGTCTGGCTTGGTAACCTTACATGTAAACAGACTCCACCATCTCCATCTCCATCTCCATCTATCTCTTCACTTACACGAGGAAATTCCCAGCCCAACCTAATCTACACTATGACGAGAGAAGAAAAAATCTCGATTCATTCAATGACGAGAGAGAGGGTGAACTGCGACGGGTTTTGCTAGATACTCTTGCTACTTTGCGCGGTTATGTCGGAAAAGATGATGTGTGGGAGGAGGAGTGTGGGAGGGGAGGGAGGGGGGGTTCATTCGGATATGTATGTTGATATCGATAGATAGATATCTCGCAGAATATAGTAGTCGGATTTTTCTTATCTGATATCTTGGAGGTTAGTACTAGAATACTCGGCAAAATCACTAAAGATATATAATATAAACTAAAATTGAATATAACATTCAAAAAAATTATTTTAATTCAATAAAAGTTTGTATAATAATTTATATATATATTTTCCATATAAAAATAAAGTTTTATAGAATTGAAATAAAAAAATAAAAGAGAAGTAATATATTAAAATTAATAAATTAATAAAAATAAAAATAATTTCATAACACATTTTAGATTCTATTTATCTTTATTCATTTTGAATCTTTTATTTTTTTATTCTAATATTTAATTAAAAATTAAATAATGTGTTATCATAAAAAGAGTTTTCTTTTTAATTTCTCAAAATAGAAAAGTTATTAAAGATTAAAGTTAAATAAATGAATGAATCGAAATTTCTAATTTTTATATTTGATCTTCTTGAAAATAAATGAATTTACTTTTTCAAAAATGATAATTTTATATGATGGATTATTAAGATAACTTCGAACATATTATATATAATATTCTTATCTTCTATTTAATCTTCTTATTCAATATTTAAAAATTTATTATTCAGACTATTAAATCAATTTCAAATATTTGATATATATTATTCTTTTTTCGTAATATAATTAATACAATTATGTACTTTATAAATTAGAAATTTCTATTTTTATAATAAAAGGTTCTAAAAAGTTGTTTATATTCTGTTTTAATTAGGTTTTTAAAATAAAGTATTAGTATTAGTAAATTTATAATCGATTCAGTCTATCTATAACTAAGTTATACTAATTATATAATATGTCTATATGTTTTTAATTTTATAAAGTAAATAGAGAAAAATAATAAAAAAGCTACCCCTTTTTAAAGTCTATTTAAATCTGTTATTATAAAATCCTATTATATTATAGAACCTTTTAATATTTTCATTTAATCTATTATAATCCTTACAATTCTCTATTTCTTATATTTATTTCTATTATTCCTTTTTATTTTATTCAATTTCTTTTAATATATTAAATCTTATAATTAATATATTACTATTCTATTATAAAAATATCTTTATTCTTGAATTACTAATCTCTAAATTTATTAAATCTTATTTATAATATTAATGATTTTAATTTCAATTCTATTCAGAAAATACTTCATTTTTAACCTTCTCTTTTCAATACTTCAATTAAACTAGGTTCTATTTTAAATCTATTATCTTTATTACTATTTCATTTTACTAATATTATTCCTCTAATAAGAAAGTCTTAAAGCTTTATAATAAAGAAGATTAATAATTATATAATTAATCTTGACTTACATTTAGTATATTAATAATTTAGAATAAATTATATAATAAATATAGAATAAATTATAATGTTGATTTTTAATATAATATATATTTTAGAAAAACATAAAAAAACTAAGGAAAGATTTTCTTGGAAAAACCTATTAATCTTTATTATATTCGAATTAGAATATTACCTTTTACTTTTTTCTGAAGTTATTGAATTGATATTTATTTGAGTTAAGGAGATATCGTTGTTGGTGTTGAGAAGGGGGGTTTAGTATATTTATATTAAAATTATTAATATCGATATTATTAATAATAGGCTTATTATATTAAATATAATTAATAGAAGAGATTAAATTATAAAATTTTATAATAATCCGGGCTTTTCAGTATTCAAAGGTCTTATAGAAGGGTTTCAATTATAAAGAAGAAGGTTCCTGGGTATAAGAAAATAAAGGGTGAAAACTTTTTAAAAAACTTTATTTTTTTCAAGAAATATTTTATAAAAAATACATTAATATAATATTTAATATTTTATTAATATATTTATAGCTATTTTATATAATAAAGAGAAAAGTTAAACCTTTTAAAAAATATTTATAATATATTAATTTAAGTATACAGCATTTTATATTAGTATATAATATTATTACGAAATACTAATTTCAATATTACTATTACGACGGGTAACATTGGATCATGTGATAAGTGTCATGTGATAGGATGTTGGAGTCTTTGGAGCTTAGGATCCAAGGAGCCAGGAGCTTTTAGAGCTTAGGATTCAAGGGATCCAAGTAGGACAGAATCATGGGTTCTGTAGAGCAGGAAGGTTTATATAAAGAGAACGAGTCTCATTATAATATAGAGCTTCGTGCTCAAGAACAATTATTAGTTTTATTATTATAGTTATAAGAATTGTAACTAGTTATAATCTTATTGAATTTCTATTTGAAGTTTAGTTTAAACCACTTTGAGAGATCTCTAGACACTTTTATATGATTCTAAAGGCAGCTCCTGTAACAACTACCTTATATAGTAGATAATATACTATCAATTATAATTGAAAAAGTAATAACTCTTCAATATAGAGTATATATTACTAAAGCAATAACATCCTAATATTATTATATCTATTATTTCGATCTTATTCAATTATTTAGTTCTATAATACAGTCTTATCCTTTGTATTAATAGAATGGTTCGATAGATCTTAATATATTATATTCTATATTAATAAAGTAATCTAATAAAAGGAAAGAGAATAAGAGATATTAAGTTTTAAAAAGAAATTATATATTATTGATATATTATGGAAGAAGGTGGATTAAAGGTTATAATAGAATTCTCGAAGGATTCGAAGTACTAGAGGGTAAAAACAATCCTTCAAAAAGGATATAACATTATAACTAATTATAGTTTTTATAATATTTTGAAAAGAGTTAAATAAAAAGAAAGGGATTATTGTAATAAAATAGAAAGTATAAGGTTTCTATAAATATATTAAGGAATTTAATAAAGGGAAGGTTTTTAGATATAATAGATTTATAATATAGACGATTTGAAGGATTTGAAAGTGTTGGGACAGGGATCATGTGACTACGCTAGCGTTGACGCTAGCGTCTTCCGACACTACAGTAATACGTTTCGTAACCCTAGCTTTTAGAACCTTAAGTAATATAACAACAGTATAAACCATAATACTATATTGACTTCATTATCCTCATAATGATATTAATACTAATTAGTAATATTACAGATCAGAAACCTGATATCTTAATTTTAACCACAATGTATAATTTAAATTAAGGTTGATATTTCTTTAAAGAGACATAAATTCTTATATTATTCTAATGTGATTTGATATTTGCTTTTATGTGAATAAGAGCGATCGGCAATATGGTAATGGTTTTTATACTAATTTTAGTCTATATTTTATTCTTCATTGTAATGTGTATTAAAGAGTAAGAATTAGTAGTATTCAATTCGAGTTTAGTATTATACTCTTCGAATTCAAACTTTGCTATATCTTGACAGAATCAATATCCCACTATCTACTTATTATTCGTCAAATATAGCAGGATTATTTACAAATTCTCCCACATCTTGAAAGCATTGTATCGAAAATATCGAGTATCCAGCCCTAAAACAATTCGACGACACCAAGTCCATCAAATCCATCATCGAATCTCTAATTCCAGTTAATATCCCATTATCTACTTATCATTCGTCAAACATAACAGAATTATTCGTAGATTCTTTTGTATTTTGAAAGCGTTATATCGAAAATATCGAATATCCAGCCCTAGAATAATTCGACGACATTAAGTTTATTAAATCTATTATCGAATCTCTAATTCTATTAGAGATTATACTTGATAATTATAAATTGATAATGAATAAATGGAAAGATTATTCTTTCGATATTAATCATACAAACGAAAAGAAAATATAAGATTTCTATAAATATAAGTTGTATGAATATAAATTCAGTAACTTTTATGATAAGGAGTTGTAATTAAATTATATTGTAAGTTTTAAGGATTTTAAACTAAAGCATTTTTTGTTCACCGGAATATAATTATTATATAAATTATAATACGAACTTTGTATATATAAACTATTTATTACAAAGTATATAATTTGTTTAAAATGAATGATCAATAAAGCACTAGTCAATATAAAATTCATAATATTTCAATAATAATTGAATCCTGAAATTACAAATGCTTTTAAAAAGAAAGGGTTTTAATTTTGATTATTAAGTATACTTGAAAGAATTACAAAAGAATTGAAAATATTACTAATTATTTTCGAAATGATTAAAGTAAAAGATTTAATTAAATAAGCTATTTATAATCAAAATAAACTCCTATAATTCTCAAGTACTATATCTAAGCTATCAAGTATTAACTCATATCGATATAATAATAAGGGTAAAGATGTTGAGAAGTATAAATCATATATTCCTTTTTTATTAAAACTATTATTATAATAATAAACACTAATAATTTGA